TCAGGCCTGTACGGGATTCGAACCACTGACCTCTGCGATACTAGTGCAGCGCTGCACTAGTATCGCAGAGGTCAGTGGTTCGAATCCCGTACAGGCCTGAGAAAAAAAAAAATTTTTCAGGTCTGATTTTCACTATTGCTCAAATAGTGCTTTACTGCGAAAGATCGTGCTCATATACGTCTCATAACCGCAGTTCACACATATGTTTCATTTGTTTGTTGTTGTATAAAAACTATAATAATAATTTTTATTATTATTACAGCTATTCTTTGTGCGTCTTTGTGTGTTTTGCAATCATCTTCTCATCTTTTAAACAATAAAAAAAATTCTTTGTCATTGGAACATCCTAGTTCGCTTCTCAGCAGCTTTTGGTGGAACTTTGGCTTCGGTGACATGACAGAAGAAGATCCAATGCAAAACTTCGTTAGAATTAAGGAGATGAGTGCATATTATTAAGCCATCTAGATGAAATGCTGTTAAGTTGAAACCAGAAGTAGCTGAGCCTTAGCCAAGCACACTTCAGGGGCGGATCTAGGGGGAGGGTCCAGGGGATCCGGACCCCCCTCTATCAGATCCGACGCTTACAAATTTGAGAATTAAATTCTTACATCGACAGGATTGTATATCACTTTTTAACTTGCTGATTTTTTTAAATAAATAAATCCAAGTAAACGGTAAGCGGCCAAGGAATTATAACGCGCAACCACGACTGGTGGGAGGGGGTGTGGTGGTGTTAAGGAGAAGTAATTTGCCTCAAAAGAATCCAACAGTACTTTCTGAACCGAAGTTTGGACCCCCCCAATCAAAAATTCCTGGATCCACCCCTGCACTTACACGTAAAAGAAACTTTCGTCTTGATTGTAATTATTACCTTGTGCGTGGCTTCCATGTCCTTAAGCTGCATTGTCAATTCAATGAATGTTGGTCTTGCGTCCGGGTCATTTTTCCAGCATTTCATCATGACCTGGTACCTAGTATTTTTCAAAGGATCTGTTAGAGATTGAAAGAACGTTTCATTATGGAATGAAAGAGAACAATTTGAAAAAGGAAACTTACAATTCTTCGTCGACGTGTGGTGGTTTAGGCATCTTATATCCTTCTTGAAGCAAGTTTGCAATTTTTCTTCCGTCCATTCTTGGATAAGGTGAACCCCCTAGAGGAACCATAAGATATAAATGTGACGAAACAACGACCTTCACTGTAACACCAACCTGAGTCACTCGATAGAGTATAATATTGCATTGCAGATCTCATTACATTTGTCTCACTGAACAGGATACATAGTTAAATTCAAAAAACTTCTCAAGAATCTCGTATAAGTCCATCGGATGTTACCTATGGTGAAGATCTCATAAAGGACAACTCCATAACTCCATCTGCATACAGAAAAATCAAACGTAAGAAGAGAAGGTGAGAAAAGATATAAACTTAATGCAATGACTACAATTCATGTTCATATCAAATTTAGTAAAATATATTAGGTAATAACTATAAATATAGGTAACGATCAGGAATACGTACACATCACTTTTGGTGGTATATTTTCCATACAACAAGGCCTCATAAGCTGTCCACTTCACTGGAAGACGACCCTAAATTTTTCAAACGTCGCTTTGTGATACTGCTCAAAAATGATAAAATCAACAAATAAAAGACAGTGATAGTTGATGTAATATTCCTAGACATAACATTTAATTAGGGTTCAATCTAAGGGTTGCACCAAAGGAAAAACGGATGTGTCAGCTCTACCACAACGATGCAGAACTGATGTAGAATTCTTGATAACCTTGCTCTTTTTTTCGTAAATATTTTCCTCCTGGACATCTCTGGCCATTCCAAAGTCTGTCACTTTACACGTCTCTCTCGCTCCAACTAAAACATTACGGGCCGCAAGGTCTCGGTGAATTATCTGAG